TCCAGTTGTCGCTGGAGGAGGAGGGCTCACGGCTGCGGGTGCTGTGCTCCGAGAAGCGGGCGAGGGAGCGCACCGAGGCCGGGCTGGATGACACCAGGCTGCAGCGGCTCAGCGTCCGCACGCTGCTCCGCGTCAGGGCCACCACATCCACCATGGGCGGCAGGATGGCATTGGGGATGATCTTGGACATGTAGGTGCCCTGGGGCGAGATGGACATGACGGGGCTCAGCAGCTCCGGGGGACTGGCGTTGGTGGTCATGCCCGGCACGGCCAGCGACTTTGGCCTCACCATGGGCGACAGCTTGGCCGCCGTCTTCCTCCCCAGCAACGTGTCGTCGTAGTAAACCCGGTCGATGTGCTTCTGCAGGACCGTGTCTGCCTCCTCCAAGGCTCCCAGGCAGACGCGGGCGCCCCTGGGGACAGCCAGTGGCTGCAGCTTCCCGTCGATGGTGGGGATGCGGATGGCGTCGCCGGAGACCTGCCCACCGTTCAGCAAGGGCTGAGGTGCCTGGCTGCCCCCGCGCCCCGCCTGCCCTCGCCTATCAGCCTCGGGGCGTCCCTTGGCTTCCTGGCTGTTCCTGAGACCTGGGAGCAGGGAGAGACGAACCCGGCATGATCCCAAGGCAGAGGCACCCAGCCAAGGCAAACAGAGCCTGGGCAACGAGACCAGACCCTAAAAATCCCCTCTTGCCCCCGACGCTTACCCAGCTCCTTCTGGACATGCTGGGGGATGCCCAGCACCGTCGTCCTCCTCTCCTTCCTCTTCTTGCCGGCCCTCTCCGAGGATTTGGGAAAGGAGTCGTGCGGTCGGAAGGTGGAACCTGCGAGAGGCATGAGCGGGTCCAGCTGGCGTGAGGGGGGCCCTGGCCAGGGCGTCCCCAGTGTCCCCAGCTCCCCCCCACTGCCAGAGATGCTCCAGGACAAGCTGGGCCCGGAGAGGCACCAGCAGCTGCCAAACAGCCGCGCAGTCTGAGCAGGGAGGAGATGGTATCTGTCCGTCCGTCTGTCCCCCTCGCCCAGCCCCAACGCTCTGACTCAGCCGGAGTTGCTCTCTTCTCTCCAAGGGCCCCCAAATCCCCGCACTGGCTCGTGGCCACGCCAACGCAGAGCCCAGCTTTCCTGCCGTGCGCCCCGTCCCCCCTCGCACCCTCTTGGCTCGCGTCCCCCGGCCTCGCAGGCCCCCAGCTGCGTACCTTTCCGCTGGATCATCTCGGAGCGGATGGAGAGGGCGTCCTCAGAGATGCTGTCCGTGGCACAGGAGGCCGCCCGGCTCCGGAAGGACACGCTGGCATCCCCCGAGGATGCGCAG